ATACCTGGGTCATAAGCATGTGGTTGTCCTTGCGGTTTACGACAGTCAAACTGCGGTCGGATGTTTCGTTAACCGCTAACGTACATACAACTAAGACCAAACAGGTCGATGCAGCTCCCTGAGTTCATTAAAAGTGTGGTCATGTAAGTTGGACCTGTGTGTTACTGTTTTACGCTCTCACTGTGCTCTATGATTATATGAACGAAAAGACAAATGTGACATCTAAATGCTCTCAAACCCCATGAACAGATATGGTGAGCATTAAAATATTTGCCCGACACCTATAGCAACAGTTCGACGGTTACAGTTAAGTTTAGAATTAGTGGCGACTGTAGCCTTTAGTGTGTAGGACAGGGTTAGGATTTATATTAGGGTGACGGTTCAAGTTTACGCTAGAGCTACAGTTAGCGAAACAGGATGTTTAACCTCCTAGAATTATACGTGTAGCTACCTTTATCCCTTGGGCAGGGCATTTTATTACCTGTGTCCGGTTTAGAGAGCGCTACAAGTAGTCCTTACCTCTCTGCGTCCTGGCGACGATCCCATCGCGGTGACTACAAACTTCCTCGAAAGTACTAAGCTGTGAATGAGTCGCAGTGAGATATACCCTTAGTCTTGACGTTTCTGGTGCTAAGCTCCCTATTTGACATTACATTCGGGGCGCAGTTGTTTACGTTCTCGATGGCCAACAGAAAAGTGTGACGGGAGGATTTTAAATCAATTTGCAGCCTTCCCAAGATCTAGCTTTTTTCTAAAAAGCAAAGTAGTCCTTTCACCGCTGTGTTGGGAGTTTCTCTTGATGGTGACACGAAGTGGTCCACAGCCATGAGGTGAGTTTCACTGACCATATGTTCGTGGCACTCCTGGGTTTGAGCAAGTGAACATTTGACCATCGCTTTTTCCCGCTGATAGTTAGTCCGAAGATAAATCAGCCGAGGCTGAAGAGGTGTACTGTTTTGGCAGTGTTCGTACTCAGAGCACTACAACCATCAGTCCCAGTTCCTTTTTGGAGGGCAAGAGTAAAAGCATCATTGTAAACCTTGCATTATGTACAGAAACTTAGTCGAGGTCAGAAACTCCGCCGTGCGTCAAGCTCTTTAGCCTGCGCAGGCATCTGTCCGCAAGTATGATGCGAGCATGGATGCATATAGGTCACATGAGCCAATGTCTGCTTGGTGAGTTGATTGGATAAACTGTGGTCACGTGACCTTTGGCGCCAGAGACGGAGGGCGTAGACCTGCTTTAGGCACCAGCCAAACCGTCATGGAACATTAATCTCAATGATTCACTGTGTTTTGATTGAAAAGTAATACACTTTCAGTCTAAGGTTTAGGTACTAAAGACTTACGATGACAAACGAGTACAGATAACTCATTTCTTTTTGTTGCCATTTTTTAACGCTTTGCGAAAAAATAAGCTTTAAAATATTTCATCTAACTGAACTGGGCGTGGTCACAGAAACTTCGGATGCTAATAATCTTTGATTGGAGGATTAGGATTGTGTAGTTCATAGAAAGTATCACATCAGTTGGGCATCTTGTGCGACTGTGACAGCGCTTTTCTGCGCATCCAACGTAACCCAAATAAAATTATAACAAGGTTGTAAAGTAACCCTTCCAAGACGCAGCGCGTATAATTCAGAAGCTCAGCGGCGATTATAGTCGACCTATCGGCTGAAGGAGTCTGAGTTTAGAAGCCTAGAGGACGCAAAAGCCTTCCCTGCTGTATGGGTACGAGTCTCACCGAGGCCACGAATATTTTTGCAACTGGGTCAACTGAATTAAGCAAATCTACCAAACCCCCCTATTAAATAAGATCATTTGCATGAAGAAAGGTAGTTCATCATTTTAAAAGAAAACTGTACAGTGGGCCTAAAACAGCAAGTGTATCAAACTGGCGGTGGCTTGGGTTTCTTTGATCCCGATGGACCTTCATCTTCCGTTTTCTCCTTCTGGAAGATGGGATTCGGTTGCGTCCTACGAAGACAGAAGCATTAAAATAATCAATTAAGAAAGGAAACTGTAACAAGGACACTACATTCCCTAAATATGCAGCTGATTTTCATTTCCAAGGCCGTCTTAATTCAAACTGACACAGGAGTCAGTAAAAACAGCGAAAGATAACCTTTAAGAACCAATAAAGTTACACTACTGATGCATGGAATTTAAGCATCCAAAACCAAGGGGACAAATAACAGTGACTGCAAACGCAGCAGCACAGACTGAAGGATACTGCGCTTACCTTAAGTAAGCTTTCGTCCAGAAGGGATCTTTCTTCGCAGCATCTGCATGGCGCAGGATAGCTCCACGGATATCACGTTCGGCAAGTTCGTCAGCTTCGTTCTTCTTAAGGACGATCTGTTGTACCATGTATCGGTGAAGACTGCCCACGCGTTGGCCTACGTCTTCGCCTGCTGGCGGCGCCCTTTTCCGGGCAGCCTTATTGGCTGCCTCATTTGCAGCCACCTGGTCTCTCTCACTGGCAGTGATTACAGCAGCAACAGCCAGTTGAGTCTCGTCTTCCAGATTGCCGAAACGTTTCCGCATCTTTCGAGCAATTCGTACGGACTCCTCATCGAAGGTAAGTAGGACGGGCTTTATGAAGGCTTCGGAGGAACCGTGGCCTTGACGTCGGCGGCGGCTGGCATCGGACGCCTGTCTATAAGCGCACATAAGGGCGCCGTTGCGGCTGCGAGTTGGATCAAAGTGTACAGTGGCAACGCCGGTGGAGAAGGTAGCCACAATCTGATTGATCCGGGGATGCCAGAGGACACGAATAGCACTGCCTTGCGCCGGAGTGTGTTTCAGTATAGGCTATTTTTGAAAAAAAAGAATGCAGATAACTAGCAGTGGCACTGTTGGTGGGGGTAGTAGTAGTAGTAGTAGTAGTAGTAGTAGTAGTAGTAGTAGTAGTAGTAGCATGATGCAAAGATAAAAAACGTCTAACAAGTCAGCAAAGCTGTTACCTCAAAGGTGTCTCGTCGGTATACTATAACCTGCCCGCCGCTCGGATCTCCTTTAGGGGCCGACACTCCCGCCACAAGCAAACTATCGTTGGGGCTGAAACAGACTGAAGTCTGATCGAATAATACGGGTAGGTCCCTCACAGTATGCACGGCGCCATTACGGAGATTTCGAATGTCCCACAGACGGAGGGTATCGTCGGTCGCACGTGTGGCCATAGAGCGTGCATCCCACGACCAACAGAGACTGGTCGTATCGGTTCCGGGGGGATGTGCACCTCGAAGACAGTGGGCCGTATTCACCAGAGGCCTGCGAGTGTCCCAGACTTGTAGTGAGCCATCTTGACATCCAGTACCGACGAGAAAACCGTCCCTAAGTAATCAAGTATAATTTACTGGCAAATCTGTGTTCTGCTCCTTGGATGAAAGTGACGAAAAGTAAAATGGTCCCGTTCCGAAAGTGTTTAGGTAGTGGATATAGAAAATGGTGATGTAGACAGGGCCTGGTATCTCCAAAGTTAAGCTAATGCAATACTCTCGTTCTCAGAAGTTCCTGGTACTGATTTTATCCGAATAAATGGAGAACAGTAATAAGAACAAGTAACAGTACCCGGCTTTACGTAAGAGTTCCTTAAAAAGTACACTGAAAGCAAAGAAGCAACGAAGCTAGGAAGGTCATCTAGCTGACCAAGTAAGGGCCATTTACCCTACATTGCCCCTGACTAGCAGCTTCCCACCAATAATTTATGCTTTACTTAAAAAATGCATAACACGTAGTCGGCATAGGCAAATTGCTTCAACCAAAAAGCACTCGAAAGACAATTCAGTCGGTTCCTTGCCAGAAATAAAGGAAACTCAAAAAGACTGGACCGAATTCAAAACGAAGCATACGCAGACTGACGACAAAGGGAAATTCTCCAGCTGGCGCATATATGGTTGGCTGTTAAGGAGCCTAGCTGCATAAAAAAGAGGAGGTGGTGTTGCGAACAGCATGGGCGCGAAATCGCGCCGACAGTAGCAACTACATGCGTCACGCAGAACTACGGTAATTTCGTCATATACAATTCAGCGAAGTCGAAAGGTGGTCAGTAAGCGTCATTAATCTCTTCCTGTAGTTGCTGCCCGGAGGATTCGATATCAGGTCAAAGGCGAAGCAAATTAGACAAACTTATTTCTACTAAGTCCCCTAATCGCGACTCGCCTCTTTTGCGGTGGCCTGTACTGTAAACGCATAGCTTAACTCTGCAAACGTTGTTACATCACAATTTCAACGTCACTCGTCAACCCTACATGCGGCTGTCAGAGCACGTCTCGCGAAAAGTGTCCTCGTCTTCAGTATTACAATGTTCCAGGCAATGCTTTAAGAAACGGCGAGGTAAACCTGCGGACTGATGAGATCAGAGCCCAGCACATGCGCTAGGAGCCGCTGTCATCGTGGAACGTACAGAAGATGACGTATCTTGTAAAATTTTGACCGAAATTCAGAAAGGTGGTATCAATTACAAAGAATTGGGTTGTACTATTGATTATTGTACAGCACAGTCTCAAGATATTTCAGTCCCTTCAGGATGCCAGTTGTACAATACGTTTTTTTCTGACCAACTGCACAAACCATAATCGGTAAAAAAAAACATGGCTGTTTAGGCGGCATGCATAGTTTTTCATAGAAGGCAGAAAGACGCTCTCTGGGACCAGTATTGTATTGGTCGACTAATCGTTTCCCTCAGAGGCACCCCAACGTTTGGTCTGGCCAAGTGGCTGTTTCAACGTCTCAAATTTCTAACAGACGGCTCTTCAACGACCGTTAAATCAGCTGAACAATTCATATAAAAGCTGCAGGGTATTCGACTAACACATGACGAAATGATGGTATCCTTCGATGTGACCTTACCTTTCACTTCGATGCCGCAACATCTTGCAGTAGAAGCAATTCAAACCCTGTTAGAAAAACAGTACAATGAGGCGGACACGAAGCTCAAAACAAGTCATCTTGTTGGGCTCCTGAAACACTTCCTGATCACCTTTTTCACCTTCAATGAAACCATGTAAGAACAAGTAAAAGGTACACCAATGGGGTCGCCGTTGTCCGGCCTGATTGCCGAGG